ACAGCCACAGTTCAGCATGTTCAAGCTTCAAATGATGTTTTTAACTCCAGCACTGTGGTGAATTGTCTGTACTGAAAACAATTGTTAAATATGTTACTGGGCTGGTAGGAGATGGGGAAAAGAAGGGTCAGGGAGGCTGGAAGCCCAATGAATGGCTCTTGGTGATGTGGGACAAGCTTGCACTGTTGTGCCAGTTAAGGCCAAATCAGAAAATGAGAAGAAACTAAACACAGATGTTTGGATGACAATGAAATCTTCTCAGGGAAGAAATGGCAATTCTGTTCCCCCAAGAATTCAAGAACATTAGATTTAGATTTGTTAGACAGAAGAAATTCCAGGTTTTACTGTATGAATGATGGCAGAGACTCTCCATGTTTATAGTTCCATGGACCAATGTACCCAGACACCTGACTTGGAAACTTTGCTAGATAGCCTAGAGCTGAGCCTAGGACTGCAGATGCATCTCACATAATGCTTCTAATGGTTTGAAAGCAACAACCTTAGATGAGAAAGGAGAAATAATATGGAATATAAGCAGAAAAAAGGGATGCCAAAAAATTTATCAGGTGAAGCTGATTTGGGTAAATTCAGTTTAGGACAGAGCATTTTACCCAGATGAATACTTGCCTCCAATTCCATGCCTACCACTCTCTCAGAGCGATTTCTTCTCTTCTCCGTTTTGTTATAAATGCCATACAGCACTCCAGGCATAGGGCTGCAGTGGACATCAAGACTGAGAAGGAAGTTCTGAACCTTCAGAAAGCAGTCAGGGTGTGAGAGTAAAGCCCACACGTAGAGGAGGGGAAAGATTGGGATGGGAGCCACGGAGGTTATTGAAGGTTATTGTAATGGTGTGTGAGAGAGAACACAGGTATGGGAATAGCAAGTGTACAGGCTTACAGACCTATCAACATTTACATGGTTGACAAAGGAGGCCAGTGTGTCTGAAGGGTTGCTATAGAGACTGGAGGAAGAACATGAGGAGAAATCTATTATTTAAATACTTATTTAGTATGAATTAAACCCTGTTCTAAGCAGTTCAGTATTAACTCATTTAACTCCTTACAGCTTGTCTATCATGTATTACTTACTACCTCAACTCTGTAGGTAAGGGAATTAAGCATGGGAGAGATTAAATAATGCCCTTCAAATCGCACAGCTACTCCAGAGCAAAGCCTGGATTCCCACACACCCAGGCAGTGTGCCTTCAGATCAGCCTTGGCCATGCTGTCTCTGAACCAAGCTGCAGAGCAAGTTTGACAACATTCAGCCCTCTCCTGTTAATAAAATATATTAACAAGAAGGTAGAGCTAATAATTAGCTCCAAGTCCATGCTTGATTATAGACTGTGGTGTTAGTAATTGGAAAAGGGGGACAAATCTTGGGAAGGATCCAGAAGAAAGCATTTTCATTTTATTATACATAGTCTGAGGAAGGGAGTTGAGCTAGGCAGGGCAGTACAGAAGCTGCCTGGCCCTTCATCACTATATTATGAGTCCCACAAACCTATCCATTGACTAACATTACACAGGAGTGTAAAGTCACACGGCAACAAAGCTATATCTTCCAGAACAGGAAAAAGTCTTGAATGAGTCACACTGATACTACTTGGATTTTCCATTACAAGGAAAAAAAGAAAAAAAAAAAAAGCTTAGAGTTATTATAATTCTTAGCAGAGGCTAAGTCCCTGGAAAGATACCAGTCATTAAGTGAAGGAACTACCCAGGTTGCTGGAATTCATCTGGGTTGACACTCCCATGTCTCTTGGAACTTAAAGAAGGCTTTGGCATAAACATTTGCAGTTTTTTTTTTCTATCTTAAAAAAAAACCCACCACTCTTTATTTTATTTTTATTATTTAATGGGTGTGTTTGTGTCTGAAAAAGCTAGAAATGCATGAGTGTATGCCACATGCATGTGTATCTGCAAAAGCCAGAAGAGTGTCAGGTCTCCTGAAGCTAGAGTTACAGGTGGTTGTGAGCCTCTGGCGTGGATACTGGGACAGAGCTCAGGTCCCCTGGAAGAGCAGCAAGTGCTCTTAACTGCTGAGCCAGCCTCCATTTGCATTTCTTTTATATTTTTATGATAATATTTATTTAAATTTGAAACAAGCTTGTTTTACATGTCAGTCCCTGTTCCCTCACCTTCCCCTCCTCCCTTGCCCTCCCCAATTCCCATCCCATTCTCTTTCTGCTCCCCAGAGAGGGTCAGGCCTTCCATGGGGGATCTTCAAAGTCTGTCATATCATTTGGAGCAGGGCCTAGGTGGGTGTAGCAATCCTAATATCCACTTGCACTTCTTAAACTGGAGAAGTATAAAGTATCATTTACTTAAAAAGAGAAAAACCCAGGTGTCATTGGACATGCTTATAATCTCAGCCTGTGGGGTACTGAGGCAGGTGGATTGAGAATCTGAAGCAAGCCTGAGCCTGTGAAGAACACTCTGTTTCAAAACAAAAGGGTAGGCAATGGCACCAGAGTTGCCATATTCCAGCTGATGAGCAGATCAAGTCTAGAAAGAACTCAAAGGATAGCAGGAAGACCTAGAAATTCTGAATGCATTTGGGAAACAATGTGATTTTCCTGCTCTAGTTACTACATTTCTCTCTGCAGACAGGCAAGTGGACTCTGAGAAAGAACTAATCTTACATAGTGATAACTGACAATGACAGCTAAGTTCTTTTTATTCCAGAGGGCAGGATACTCACAAGTAAGATCAATAAATTCAGTTGCAAGGGTTGAGGACATGGCTCAGTCAGCTCAAGTGCTTGCCATGCAAACAACTGAATTCAAATCCCTGTACCCTTGCAAAAAGCCTGCTGGGGCAATACCATTGCTCAGGGAATAGAGGCAGGAGGATCCCTGGTGATTTCTGACAAGCCAGGCTAGCTAAATAAGTGAGATTCAGTGACAGACCCTGTATCAAAAATTAGGTGGAGAGTGATTATGGAAGACACCCAAGGTTGACCTCAGGTCTTCATATATGCACATGTACTTGTAGGCATGTATGTAATTAAGTTCAAGCACACACACACACACACACACACACACACACACACACACACACACTAATTGTAGAAATAACAGCATATTCTAAAGAGATAATGCTTTATAATTCTAAGTGGTACTTAGTTAACTATGGCCAGCAATAGTGCTCTAAATATAAATTCAGAATATTTAAGCATAAACATAGGAAACGATAGGTTTAAAATAACCTGAATTAGTACAAATCAACTAAATCAGTAGGTGTTACGCTATTTTGACAGGTTCACCCGACACCCACTTATTCCACAGGCTTTTCATCATCTCTTTGGATAAACACATCTTTCTTTTGTGTGTGTGTGTGTGTGTGTGTGTGTGTGTGTGTGTGTGTGTGTGTGTGTGTGTTTCTCTGTGCTGTCCTTCTATGAGGGACTTCACTTCCAGACTGTTTCCTCTAGAACTCCACGCCAGAAGGAAGGAATCTAAGTAAGGGGAAGGCCGCCGTTGTCCTTTAACAAGATCTCAATGGCCCAGGCTGGCCTTGAATTGCCTGCCTCAGTTTCTCTAATGCTAGGATTCCAGTTGCAGGCCTCTGCATCCAGCAAGATTTTGTTCCTTAGTCTAAGGAAGCCCCAGGAGTGCAGTTTCTATGGCTGGCCACAGTATCACTGTCATTTTATATATAGTAACACTGTTTAAAGAAAAAAGAATCACTTGACAAAGTTTTCTATTTCTGTAACATTGTGTCAGGAAGAAGCTTAACAGAATGTACTTCCCAGGGTGAAAGCACTTGTTTGGATTTCATATGTAAGTTTTATTTAACTCCTTAGATAAATTTAGCTCTTGTGAGAATAAACATTCTGGATTCCTTGATTCAGACAGTATATACCCTTGTTACTGACACACGGAAATAAAACACGACCAATAAAACCACATAAACCCTGACCAATATAACCTTGAGCGCTTCTCCAAAACTGCAGACTGCAGGTGCCCTCTAGATTTTCCCCAGAGAAGCCCTGGCTCCTGGTCCTAAGGTAAAATCTGTAGCTGATACAGCAAGACCACACCTAAGCCTGCAGCACCATAGTCTGTAGAGAGCCGACTTCTCTATGGATACCTCCTTTCCCTACTCAAGTCCCAACCCGCAGCGTTCCTTTTCCACCCATCGAAACATCTGTCTCTGCTTTTCCTCTACTTCCTTTTCCACATTCAAGTGTACCCTAGGCTACTTGTATATTGGTGCCTCCCAAGCAAAGAATTAGCAGGAGCCAAGACCTAGAATGACTCACAGAGTTTCTACTCCCTGCCACCACCCTCAGTTGTCCCACCACTGTGGTTCTGGGTATCCCCGTAGGGACACAAGGTAAGAAGGGAAAGTTGAAGACACTCAAGGAAGACATGAATGAAGATTTTTTTCTTCAACCCTTCCCGAGAAGTCTCTTGCTGTTCAGAAAAAGGTAGGAAAATGACCCACATTCAGGTTTCAAATGCAAATATTTTTACGAGGCGAGAGGAAAACAAACACAATTCCCTCTGAGACCCTCCGGGAGGATCCTAGCAACAACACAACCACAGCAGGTTCTGCGCTTGCACGACACTTAGGAAACCTTAGCTAGATCCGCATGGCCAGTTCCCACTGTAGAGCTGGGATCTCTGGTCTCAGTACTACAGCTGCAGTAGCTAAGGTCAGGTGAGCTCCTGAAGGCCGAAGGAGGGAGCCCTAGATCTTTACACAGCTGGAGTAAAGGGAGGGAGGAAAATAAGGAATTGAGGATGGGCTGACCTTGAGAATCTCCCTGAGTTATAACTTAGAAGCTCCAAAGCCACTGCATCAGAGAGAGGACGTAGGGCGGACGGAGGGTTTAGAATGTTGAGCCCAAATCTACTGATAAGAAAGGGAGGTTGGAGAGGAACCCTATTCCTCCATCTCAAGTGGCTGAGATACAGGCGGTGCGCTTGTAGGCATTCAGGTGCCCCAGCACAGCTAAAGCGCCTGCAGCTCGCAGGTGACAGCACTTACCTGGCTCGCTTTTACGCGCCTGGTGCAAACTGGAACAACGCTGCACTGCCTGGGTGCGGCTCCAGAGGTCCCGCAGGACCCGCCCCACTGCGCCCGGGGCAGCGTGTGGTCACGCCCCTGGGCGGAGCTTGAGCTGCAAGGACCGCCTGTGGCTTTGGCGGTTCTGGCTGTCTCTGAAGAGAGACTGCATTTTCTCCCTGTTCCTGATGGTCCGCATGTTTACCTTTCTGGCTCCGCAATCTGCATATTTGATCTCCTCCCCACTTATCTTTTCCTGATCACAGTCCCAAGTTCATTCTATTTGGTTGGAGCTGGAGGAACAGTAGCGCGTTAGTAATTCGTGCTCAGCAGAGCCACCGTAGCTCATCTCGCTGTTCATGCGCAGAAGTAGAGGGTTTTAGTAGGGTTGCTTGCGTCTCGTCTTTGAACTCTGCTGGTGAGAGGTGTTTAGGGGGTTCGTACCTCCATGGTGGGCCGCACCCATTCTCGCCCGCGCTCTCGCAGGCCTCCTTTCGAGGTTTGCTCGCCCAGGTGTTTCTGAACACCCGTAGATTTAACAAAGAGCACAGAGGCGTACCCTCTTGTGCCACCTCGTGGCAGCCTCCAGGAGAGCCTTGGATAGGACTTTCTGGGCAGAAGTAGACCTTGGCTGCTAATTTCTGTAAGTTCTGCTTTAAACTGATCACAGAAGGCGCCAAAGCTAACATTTTTTTTTTTCCCGTCTTAAGTGCTCCGCTCTACATCCTATTGCCTGAGTACCTGAGCCAGACATTGCGTACCTCTTAAAGTCTCTCCCCTCACTCCTTCATACTTACTGGAAGTAAGTTTATTCTGCAGCTAAATATGAGTAATCACGGCCCGCGGGATACTGATCCAGGTTGCCCAAATACCATGTGCCAACTGGCATTTCATGACCTTACAGCAACAGAAGTAAAGAAAATTATAAATCAAGTTCCATATCCAATATGTTGGGGGAACATCAGACATTCAGATTATAGCAGAGCCTGGGATAGGCTTCTGATACTATGTGACGACATTCTTAGTCTTGAGTTCGTAGAAGCCAGTTAGTACTGTCTGAAAGGATTTGAGTCAATAGGTACAAGAATAGCTGTTCAAATACATGAGTGTATTTGAGCTTAGACTATTAAGGGTGTTAAAGATATCTCACAATGATTTTCTCAGAATCTGAAGTTTCCACCCCTCCACAATCGCTGAAATCTAATCAATCAGTATTGTGGTATCCTTAACATGGGTAGGGGCAGCCTTCAACTTCGGTGGCCCCTCAACTTCAGCTCACATTTTCTTCCTTTCCTCCTGTCTTCTTTTCTGACAGCCGAGGCTGGTCTGAGACTCAACTATATTGCCATGCAGACCAGGTTGGTCTTGAACTTCTAACCATTCTGACTCTACCTCTCAAGTGTTGACATTACAGGTGTGTGCCAGTGTGCCCACCCTCCTCTAAATGGCCCTTCTTTGGGGGGTTTTACACTTCTAAGAAAGTGTTTGGGAGTGTAACAGTTCCAGTCTGGGAAAGACTAAAATCTAAAAGGGGCCTAGGCTGGATTTTTGTTCGATTTTACTGGCTTATGCCCACGCATTTGGAAGTACTTTGAAGGCTCTTAAAATGTTTATTATTGCTGTTTCAGCACTTTTTGATTGTTCTCAAGCTTTCCCCTTCAGTAAGGGTTCTTGGTATGTTGGGTTTAAAGGACTTGTTTTACCTGAACATTGAGAAAGCAAACAGGAAAAAAAAAAATTCTGCATTATTGAGGGGGTGTTCTCCTCTTGCTTTATATTTATAAGAAAAGGCAGTCTAGGTGGTAGAAGGGATGAGTGGAAAGTCAGGATAAGTCTGGCTGCTATTTCCCAAATATTCCTGTTTGGCCTTAAACAAGAATTGATTATGTAGGAACTTCTTTTAAAAAACCTTACAAGGCCAGGGGTGGTGTTGTATGCCTTTTATCCCAGTACTTGGGAGACAGAGGCAGGGGCATCTCAGTGAATTTCAGGCCAGCCTGGTCTACATACGGGGTTTCAGAACAGCTGGGGCTACACAGTGAGCAACTGTCTCAAACACACACACACACACACACACACACACACACACACACACACACCAACCAAACAGAAGCCAAAAACCAAACCACAATGAAGCTATCAACCAAATCACCAAAACTTTATAAAAGCATTATTTGTCTTTTCATTTTGTCCATTTAATAAATCATAATCCATTTACCCTTCATTGACTGCAGTTCATCTTTCAACATTGTTTGGTGGTGATAGTACTATAGTCTTTTGTTGGAGTTATCTTGTTTTGAGTTTTCCTATTACACTGTACAACTTTGTCAGTGTCTTAGGGGTTTTTATTGCTGTGAAGATATACCATGACCATAGCAACTCTTACAAAGAAAATAATTGAGGTGTGGTGGCTTACAGTTTCAGAGGTTCAGTCCATTATCATGACAGGGAGAATGGCAGAGTGCAGGCAGGTGTGGTACTGGCTATATCTTGATCAGAAAACAGCAGGAAGTCAACTGAATGAAGCTTGAGGAGACCTCAGCCCATCCCCACAGTGACACACTTCCTCCAACAAGACCACACCTACTTTGACAAGGCCACACTTCCTAATAGTGCCACTCTCTTTGGGGGTCATTTTCTTTCAAATCACCACAGTTAGTAAATCTGTATGTGTGCTTATGATGATTTGACTAAATTCCTTTAAGGAGGTATTTCTAGGCTGGGCAGTGGTGGCACATACCTTTAATTGCAGCACTTGAGAGGCAGAAGCAGGTGGATCTCTGAATTCGAAGCCAGCCTGGTCTACAGAGGGAGTTCCAAGACAGCCAGAACTGTTACACAGAGAAACCCTGTTTTGATAAAAACAAAGCAAAACAACAACAACAAAAAACAATACAAAAAAAGAGGAAATTCTGGGTCAGAGAATACATATTTCTGTACCTCTCCTGGCATCTATAAACACCAGGCATACCTGGGAAAGTGAGCATTTTCTCCAGTACTGGACATTGGGTATACTTGTCTCTATTTCTAAGTTGAAATAAGACTTTCATCCTGAGTGGTTGTAAAGAGCAGAGGGAATGCCACACACAAGAGCCCTTTGCACCAGGTTAATATATTTGTAGGCCCCAGTAAATCAACGGGGATTTGATGTGCAGCCCTTGGCTCAGAAGTTACTGTGTCCCTGCTTCACTCACAATTAATTCCTTCTCCACTTACAATCTGGTTTCTGCTTACAAACCTCCTTTCACATGGCTCTCTGAAAGGTCACCATTGGCCTTGTAAACTCTCCATAGCATCTCAAGCATAGCTTTTTCCTGAGTCTTTGCTGGCCGCTCTTCATCTCTCTTGATACTTAACATGTGTTCCAGATTCTCTGGGGCACCGTTCCTTCTCTCCCACTCTTCTTTGCATTCCTGTCTTCCCTGACTCTCCCTTGATGACTCATCTGCTCCCTTGACTGTTTTGGTTGTAGAGAGTCCCCATTTCCTGTTGTTATAGCCTGTAGTGGTAGAACTTAGTGAAGTGACAGGGCCAGTTCTCCCTCTCCCTAAAGTAGATGGGAGTGTGAGCATGTGCCTTTGACTCTGACAGCCAAGAACTTGCTCCCAAGACCCTGGCCCTTAAGAAAATGAAGTGACCTCATTAGTTTTTATTATTAGCTTGACACAACCTAGTTGCCTGGGAAGAGGGAACCTCTGCTGAAGAATTGCCCTGATTAAATTGGCCTGAGCCATATCTGTGAGAGACAGTTTTGTTTGATGATTGATGTGGGAGGACCCAGCTTACTGTGGGTAACACCACACACACACACACACACACACACACACACACACACACACACAGAGGGCCTTAAGCACGAGGGCCTAGTCTGTGTACAAAAGGTAGATGAACATGCACCAGTGAGTTCCTCTATGGTTTTTGCTTCACTCCCTGCCCCATTCCTTCAATGATGGATTATGATATAAAAGTGTAAGCTCTGGTCATGGTGTTTATCACAGCAACAGAAACACAACCAGCGCAAACAATGTGAAGACATTTGGAGGGTTCATTCACTGTGGTGGCAGCCTTGGAGGAACCAGATGTCTTTAGTCTTTGTGACCACTCTTTATTCCTTCTTTTACTTCTGTATTAAAAATTAAATTGTTTTTTTACAAATTAAAATTTGAAAAAAAATTTATACATTTACAAAGGGTCTGTCTCATTGAAGCCCAAGTTGGCCTTAAACTTACTATGTAGCTCAGGCTAACTTTGAATTCCTCCTCTTCTTTCTTTTGCCTCTTAAGCCTTAGGTTGGGTGCCATCATGCTTGGTGCTAATATATATATATATATATATATATATATATATATATATAGAGAGAGAGAGAGAGAGAGAGAGACATATATTTAAAGACACACTTAGCTCAGCACCATGACCACACTATTACATGTAGCAATCTAGAAAGCTTTTTGTTACATACTTTATACTTTCCATAGAACAGAAACTGAAATAACCCATTACAAATTAGTCAGAAAACAGTTCTTGGATTATTTTTGGTTCTCCTCCCCCCCACAAACGTGAGTATCATCTAGGACATTTCTTCTTTGTTGTAGCCTTGCCCCCTACTGTGCTTGGCTGAGTTCTCAAGCCTTTTGTTACCTGGAGCCTCCCTGTCACTTCTCTGACTCTGCTTTCCTGCTATACTCTGTTTCTTGGCAGTAATTAAAACCTGCTACTGCCATAGTAGCCATTGCACTGGAGCCATTGTAGCCACCTTGGTTTTGTGGTTTGGCAAGTATTAGCCCTTACCACTGTGGGGCCAGAGCTTCTGCTTCTTATGGGTCCATCCAAAACATGAAGATTGATAATTTTTGGTTTTTATTCTGGTGTGGCAAACCGCAGCCCCTCAGCTGGTAAAAGCTCACACCAGTTTCTCTAGTTTTTAGAATTGGTAGTTTTAATTGCCAAAATCGTTGTAGTTTCCACCCCCTCCAAAATGGCTTCTATTGCTATCAAATTCATGATAGCAACTCCCTACTGCCATATGCACACCTGACACAAATGCCACCAGAGC